AATAAGTTGCATGTACAGAATCTTATTACATGTACAGAATCAAAATAGTTGGCAACATTGAAAAGTTGTGGGTATTAAAAGTAAGGAATTGGCCCTCCCTGGTGGCGCAGCGGGTTAAAGCGCAGCACTGAGAATCTGAAGCCACTTCCGCATGAGTTCGATTCCCGCCTGCCGCCTGCCCCGGAGGAGACCACATGGCGAGCCAGACCTCTCCTGGCCCGCCCGCTGCTTCCCTCAGCAGTGTACTTCGTCAATCTGCCTGTTCTGCTCCCCACTCTGTCTCTGGTGAAGCCTCTCACCGCCCCTGAGCCTCTGGCCTGTACCCCAGTTCTGTATGAATAAATAAATAAATCTTTAAAAAAAAAAAAAAAAGTAAGGAATTATGCTGACTTCCTTAATGAAAATAGTCTTTCAGTGTTAACAGTGAAAGAATATCCTCCTTAGGAGAGTTTGCTATTTCTCAGTCTGTTCCCTATACAGAGAGCAGTGATCTCTCACCAAAGGGTCTTACCATTGCCTGATGCAGTGAGAAGAGTATTAATTCATCTCAGTCATAAACCTGTGATATTTTCATTAATATATCTGGTAGTACAAATAAGACCAGGCAATATAATTTTACTAAAGACCCTGAGAAACAAGTCATATACTATTATGCCTTCTTCCTACCTGGCATAAAGGAGCTTCTTATAGAAATACATAGTGGTACCTATAAGGATATTATGTAATCAAACTAAATCAGAAATATAGAACTGTTCTGTGTATACTTTAACTAAGAATTGTTAACCACAACTAACATTCAAATACTATCAATTTTTGATCCTTCCACTTATATCTTACCTAAAAAAGACATTAGGCAAGACTTACTGAAGAATAAAACATGAGTGTGATGTTTACACACTCCTTAAAGGGCTATAATTTCAAAATAGTGCTTGTCTCTGTAACAAGAATTAGCAGGTTTTGTACACTTGTCATTTATAGTACAACAATGAATTTTCAGTTGAATGCACTTCGGTAACTATGTTTTTGAATGGGTAATACATTTACCTTGTGCAACATTTTAAAAAATATAAAAGGGCATTTAATAAAAAGAAAATTAATATACCTTGTATGCCTGCTTTATTTCCCCTTGCTGGAAAGTTAGTTTTATTGTGTAAACATTCTATTCATATGTAAGAAATTGTGTGTGTGTTCACCCTACAAATGGTAGCATAGTAAACATACTTAAGTACTTAAAAAACTTCATAGAATTTAGAGTACCTTATGTGTCCTTATTTTGATTGCACAGAATTGCATTGAATAGATGTTCCAGGTAGGCTTATTTGGGTTGCTTTTATTTTTCTTTTAAAAACTGCTTTTGTGGCCCTCCCTGGTGGCGCAGCGGGTTAAAGCGCAGCACTGAGAATCTGAAGCCACTTCCGTGTGAGTTCGATTCCCGCCTGCCGCCTGCCCCGGAGGAGACCACATGGCGAGCCAGACCTCTCCTGACCCGCCCGCTGCTCCCCTCAGCAGTGTACTTCGTCGATCTGCCTGTTCTGCTCCCCGCTCTGTCTCTGGTGAAGCCTCTCACCGCCCCTGAGCCTCTGGCCTGTACCCCAGTTCTGTATGAATAAATAAATAAATCTTTAAAAAAAAAAAAAAAACTGCTTTTGAAATGATGCTCATATAGGTATAATTTGGGTACTAGTAGAACTTGCGGACTCCAAGAAAATATATATCTTCAATTTTGTTAAATATTTCCAAATGACCTCCCATACATGTCATAGTACCATAACCTCACCAGATTTTCTGTTAACAAATGTCTTGGTATTTGACTATCTATTACATTAAAAATGGTATTTAATTTGCATTCTTCTTCGTTTGAGTAAGATTTCTAAATATATTTCTTGGCATCTATATAATTTTCTATTGATTTTTTTTTTTTTAAAGATTTATTTATTTGTGTATACAGAACTGGGCTAATGGCCAGAGGCTCAGGGGCGGCAAGAGGCTTTACCAGAGACAGAGTGGGGAACAGAACAGGCAGATCTATGAAGTACACTGCTGAGGGGGAGCAGCGGGCGGGTCAAGAGAGGTCTGCCACGCCATGTGGTCACCTCCAGGGCAGGCGGGAATCGAACTCATGCAGAAGCTGCTTTAGATTCTCAGTGCTGTGCTTTAACCCACTGTGCCACCAGGGAGGGCCCTCTATTGATTTTTTTTAAAGTTATTTTTTGACTCTCATTCCCCTTCTCTTCCCTCCAGCCCCAAAGATGTCTTCACACTAATCCTCAGAACCTATGAATATGTTAAAACTTCCTTTTAAGCATTTTAAAGCTCAAAAATGAAATTGCTATGTTTTTAGCAGTAAGTTTTTAAGTCACTGTTGTCTCAGAGACTAAAACGTTGCAATATGATAACCAGCGAGAGTAAAAACCCAACAGATTCTTGAGCTTTAATAATGGCAGTTTTTTTTTCCATATTGACTGTAATGAGCTACTTAACATGTTCAGGAAAAAATGTTTACTATTTTAAATAGGAGAATATGATATGGAGTCAATGAGAAGAAGAAATTTTATTATGCAGTAGGGCATAAGCAGGACAAAATGTGTGCTAGCTGACATCAGTCCTTGGTTGGTTGTGTGTTTTAGACAAGAGTTTGTGCTTCTATTTGAGAAAAGAAGATAGCTTTTGAAATTAAGGGGTTATGAGGTTAACAGCACTGGTGAAAAGATTAATCTTAGCAAGGAGGAAAGGTCCTGTCAAAAAAAAAAAAAAAACCCTCACATTTATTGAATAACCTGAAAAATTTCAAGGTAAATATTTTAACCATAGGTCTTGAAATTGAAAGCTGAGGTGTTAAATTATAAACTAATACATGCTGCCAGAACAGGGTTTTAGATTCATTTACATAACCTTTGGGAACACTGTGCTTAACAAAGCTTAAAGTAATAGATAAGGGAAACGGTTATATACTTGGTATGTGTATGTATTAATGTTAATGTATACTTACATAATAATAGAAAATGTTTCAGATATATTACTAACCAGCTTTAAAGCCTTCACATTAAGTTGATTAATGATTCAGGTAACCTTAGTCTTGATAGTATAACAGCTTCTTCAATTTTAAATTCCTTATTGTACTGATAATTAGTTTTTTTGTGTCAGATTTTATCTACATTTCTTAAAGATAGGAATTATAACTTTTCTCAAGGACCACAACTATTAAGATGCTGAGCCAGGATCCAACTTACAAGCTTTCATTCTTGGCTCCTCATTCTCACCACAGCACAGTGCAGCTTTAAAATTATATAGCTCTCTGACAAAAGACTTGAGTCATCATGAATACATAAAAAAAAACTCAATAGTAAAAGAAAGTGAGTATAATAATAAAAAAAGACCAAAATGTTTAAAAAGAAAAAGGTGTACAAATGGCCAGTATGCATGAAAAGATACTCAACATCATGAGTCATCAGGAAAATGGATACTAAACTGATTACCACGCTATACTCAATATAATGAATAAAATTAAAATGACTGAAAACACCAAATGTTGGTAAAAGTGTGGGTCAACTGGAATTGTTATACATTATTGAGGGAATATCATGATAAGAGTTTCATAGTTTTCTTATATAGTTAAAAATATACTGTTCTATCAACTTCATTCCTAGATCGTAACCTAAGTGAAATGGAAACAGGCCACAAAGACTTGTGCAAAAATGTTTGTAACTATTTTATTCATAATATCAAACAACTTAGAGCAATCCAAATATCCATCAGTATAATAAAGAATAGTAATATATTTATTCAGTGAGGAGACTATTAGCAGTACAAAGAACAAACTATTGATAGAACAAAGTGACTAGTGAAAAAGGTCAGACCAGAAGAATACAGAGGTCATTCTCTTATTACATTTATATGAAGCATATAACAGATAAAACTAATGAATATATAGAAGCTTAAGGGAGGTTTCCAGAGTTGTGAAGACGTTTTATGTCATGTTTATCATATTGGGTATGTGGATGTATATATCTGTCAGAATTTAAGTTGTATGTCTAAGATAAGCATATGCTATGGTATCAAAATTTTCCTTAATAAAATAAGTATTTAAAGGAAGAAAAAGGAAGGGGAAAATTTCTAAAAGTACTATGACAACTGGCAACCTAACGCTGAAAGCAAGCCAGACGCTAAGTAGCACAGAACTATTATTTAGAATCTCAGTTGATGCTCATAATAACAAAGATAATTTTGAGCTACATTCAGTATAATTTTCCAAGAATCAGCAAGCACACTTTTAGAAAAGACTTCATTAATTATTAAAGGTCTTAGAACTGTATTGTTTAGATGTTCATAATTTAGAACACTTATATAAAACACATTTAGATTTTATGTAAAGAATCATTGTGGTTAATATTGGAAATTGATTCTGAGTGGAAATAGAACATAGTTATAAGTCTGTCAAAAAAGAAAGATCTATGAAAGATCTTTATAGACCGGTTTGCTTGATAAGTTATTGAAACAAATTTTTTGTATGGTTTATGTGGTTTCAATCTACAGCTGTAAGAAGAAATTGAATTGGCATCTGAGTTAGCCATATTGTTAAATACTTAAGAGGTGTCACATTTAAATTACAGCAGTAATTTCTCCTGATGGTATTGCAAATTTGGACTTAGGAACCATGTTGGTGGGTAGCCTATGTAGTTTTTTGTTTTACTTTTTTTTTTATTGGAGTCCTTCATAACATGGCAATCAAATATTGCTTGAACTACTCAAATGATGAATTGAAATAGTAGTTCTGTAATCTTTGCTTATGAAATTAGTCTTCAAAACAAAGTTTAACTTTTAAGTTAGTGGTTTTGACCTTTTTCAAATAGGTTGCTTTGTGTAGGTGGTCATGAATGCAATAAGCCCATTAATTATTACACTAATGTTGGGTCCTTAGCTTCTCTAACTCACAGCTTGACTGGGTTTTTGTTTTTGTTTTTTTATGGAAAAGCTAATTTCAATTTTTGCATTTATTTTAGTAATAGTTATGCACGAGTGCGAGCTGTGGTGATGACCCGGGATGACTCAAGTGGTGGATGGTTACCACTAGGAGGAAGTGGACTGAGCTGTGTCACTGTTTTTAAAGTCCCTCACCAGGAAGAGAATGGCTGTGCTGACTTTTTTATCCGTGGAGAGCGACTCAGGGACAAACTGGTAATGTATCTATTGATACAATTTTATGATTCTGTATAATTATTTAAAATTATGATTATTTCTGGAGCTCTTTCTGTGTTAAAGATACTGGGATGTGTATTTCTTTGTAACTAGGACTGACATTAATGCACACATGTTAAAAAGGAACTGCTTTGCAGTTAGATTTAATGCAAGAACATTCACTAACAGTCGCACTAGTTACTAAACTAAATATACCCTGTGTCCCCTTTTTTTCTATAATCCTTATGCTGGAGGTTGGCACACTCTATAGTACACAGACCAAATCTACCTATTTCATGTCTGGCCCCATAAGTTAAGAATAGCTTTTAGTTTTATTAATGATTAAAAAAACATCAAAGAACAGAAAATTTTGTGACCTGTAATAATTATATAAAATTAAAATTTCAGTGCCTGTAATAGTTTCATTGGAAAAGAGGAAACTTACTTGTTTGCATTCTGCCTATGATTGCTTTCTCACTACAATGACAGAGTCAAGCAGTTGGAATAGATAACATAATGTCTAACCCTTTAGAGAAAATTTTGTTGATCCCTAGCCCAGCTGCCTGCATTCTTAAGTTTATTTCTTTTCATTCTCTATTATTTAGTTATTCTAGGCTTGTAGGAGTACTTGGTGGCCAGCCCAGTTTTCAACATTACTGTATTCTATCCAGATGTGTTTTTTTGTATCTGTATTGTTTTAAATTGAATCCAGTCTTTGATAGCATTAGGTATTTATTCTTTCAATTAGTGTGGAAAAGTCAGAGGTTCTTGAAAATGACTAGGATTCCCTTTAAATAATTATATATACATGTATGTGTGTGTGTGAGAGAGAGAGAGAGAGAGAGAGAGAGAGAGAGAGAGAGAGAGAGAGAGAGAGAGGAAAGAACTTTGGGGACTGGTATTTGAGCTTCTTTGGCATCTATAATGTTACTTCTCATGAAAATGTGTTTTAAGGTCCAAGTAGTTCTTTCATAATGTAAACATTTAGATTAGATCTACTTTCAATTTTGGCTCTTGGTTTCTTAATATTTCTTTTTTAACTGAATTATTTCATCAATTTAGAAAGTTTCCTAACTTATCTGTGTCCTACCTAGTTTCTGCCTCAAAGAACTACCCTAAACTAGTAGTTCCACTAGTAAACTGATACCCTAAACTATTTTTTAAGTTTTTTAAGTTTATAATTCACTCCTGACATTGCATCTCAATTAACTAGAATGTGGTTTTAAGATACTAGAGAAGTCCATTTGAAGTCAGAAGTGTATATATTACCTCAAACATGTCATCTTTAAAAGTTGAAATATGTAAAGGTAATACTTATTTAAAATAAGACTTGTAGACTTTCAGGAAGGAATCTGTGGTTACTTATCCTAATGTGTAGTGTGTCTTATTTGGGCTAATGATAACTAGGAAATGTTGCTGTAAGAGAAATTGTAGACTGTAAACTGAGTAAAATAGTGAAGTTCTAAGGATTTTTTTTTTTTTAAGATTTATTTATTTATTCACACAGAACTGGGGTACAGGCCAGAGTTGCAGGGGCGGTGAGAGGCTTTACCAGAGACAGAGTGGGGAACAGAACAGAGAGGTTGACGAAGTACACTGCTGAGGGGAGCAGCAGGCAGTCAGGAGAGGTCTGCCGCACCATGTGGATCACCTCTGGCTGGGTCAGAGATCGAACTCATGCTGCAAAAGTGGCTTTAGCTTCTTAGTGCTGTACTTTAACCTGCTGTGCCACCAGGGAGGGCCCTAAGGAATTTTTAATAGTGAGTTTCTTTAATAGTTAGAAAAAAGGGAAGGAAGTAGTTAAAGATAGAGGAAGAGTAGGAGGAAAAAAGCATGTTAAAAAATAACATCAAGGAAAAGATCATTTAGAGATGAAAGAGAAAAAGAATCAGTGAAACAATTGATTATATATTGATTATTGATTATTGATTATTGAAAAGAAATTTGTAAGAAACAATAGACCTTGTTGTAAACTAAGATAAAAAAGTACCACTTTTCTCTCAGACACTTGAGCTTTACTAGCAATTCTTAGAATTGCTTTTCTTTCTTACTTTTTTTTTTATTTTTACTCATTTTTTTACATTGTTCATTCTTGTACAATATTTGATCTCTCTTCTTAGGTGTAGTACCCATTAAGTAACCATGAACTGGCCCTCTCTGGTGGTGCAGCGGGTTAAAACACAGCACTGAGAAGCTAAAGCTGCTTCCGCATGAATTCAATTCCTGCCTGCCCTGGAGGTGACCACATGGTGTGGCCAACCTCTCCTGACCCGCCCACTGCTCCCCTCAGCAGTGTACTTTGTAGATCTGCCTGTTCTGTTCCCCACTCTGTCTCTGGTGAAGCCTCTCACCACTCCTGAGCCTCTGGCCTGTACCCCAGTTCTATATGAACAAATAAATAAATCTTAAAAAAATAAATAAATAACCATGAACTGTCACCTCTTGTGCTCTTCTGTTTTGGCCCCTCTCTCTCCCCATCTCCTGCTGAATGTCTCTGGTTTATCATTTGCCTGCTAATTTTGTCTTTTTTTTTCTTTTGATCTCTTGTGAGATTTCCCTTTATTCTTGGTATAAGTGAAACTATCTGATTTTTTTTTTCTTCTGATTTATTTCACTGAGCAGAATCTCTTCCAGTTCTATCCATGTTGCTGTGAATGTCATGAGTTTATCTTTTTGATTGCTGAGTAGTATTTTATTGTGTATATATGTTTTCAATTTTAACTATAGTGCTACAGTAACAGGGGTGCAAGGTTCCTTTGGAAATTTTTTTTTTTTTTTTTTGCATCCTTTGGGTACATTCTTAGGAATGGAATCACTGCATTGTATGGTAGCCAATTTTTAGTAATTTGATGAACTTTCACAAAGCTTTCTGTACTGGTTGGACCAGTTTGCATTCCACTGGCAATTGTCAGCTTTTTAAATTATTATTATTAAATAATATAATAATTTATTTTTATATCATTTGGTGCATTTTTCCATTTCCATTGTAATCCCAGTGGGCTTCCCATCACCAAACCACCCGTGTTCCATCACCATAGTCCAGTGCATTTCCCTCGCCCCACTGTTTTTGATCCCATTCCCCACTAGACCCCCATAAAATGTCTCTGGTATATAGCTGTTCATTATTATTATTATTATTTTCTTGCCTGGTCAGTTTTGGCCCTTCTCCCTCCCCGTCTCCTGCTATGAGTGATACCATCCGATATTTTTCCTTTTCTTTCTGATTTATTTCACTAAGCATGATCTTTTCCAGCTCCATCCATGTTGCTGCAAAAGGTATATGTTTATTTATTTTTTTGGTTGCTGAGTAATATTCCATTGTGTATATGTACCACATCTTTTTAATCCAGTTATCCACTTTTGGGCATTTGCATTGTTTCCATGTCTTTCCAATTGCAAATAAAGCCATAATAAACATGGGGGTGCAGATATCTTTTTGAATCAGTGTTTTTGTGTCTTGGGTAGATACCTAGGAGTGGGATTGCTGGGTCATATGGAAGCTCCATTTTTAGCAGTTTGAGGAGCCTCCAAACAGTTTTCCATAGTGGTTGTACTAGTTTGCATTCTCACCAGCAGTGCTGTTAGCTTTTTTTTTTTTTAAAGGTTTATTTATTTATACATATAGAACTGGGGTACAGACTAAAGGTACAGGGACAGTGAGAGTATTCACCAGAGACAGAGTAGGGAGTAGAACAGGCAGATTGATATGAAGTACACTGCTGAGGGGAGCAGCAGGCTAGGTAGGAGAGGTCTGCCATGCTATGTGGGTCACCTCCCTGGCCAGGGGCCAAACTCAAGCTGCAATGACAGCAGACAGCTTCACAGTGCTGTGCTTTAACCCATTGCGCCACCAAGGAGGGCCCTCTTGTTAGCTTTTTTAATGTGAGTCATTCTTACTGATGTGAAGTGATATCGCAATGTGGTTTTGATTTCCATTTCCCTGATTATAAGTGATGTTGAGTATTTTTCCATGTGCTTCCTCTTCAGAGAGGTGTCTTTTTAGCTCTTTTGCCCACTTTTGACTGGATTCTTTATTTTGTTTTTGTTGAGTTGTAGGAACTCTTTGGAGTTTTTTGATACCAGTTGTGTGGAATACAAATATTTTCTCCCAATCTGTAGGATGTGTCTTCATCTTGGTTATTGCCTCTTTAGCAGTTCAGAAGCTTTTTAGTTTTATGTAGTTCCAGCTATTTATCTTTTCTTCTATTTTCTTTGCTTTAGAGGATAAGTCTTTAAAGATGTTTCTAAGATATATGACATGGAGTATTTTCCATATGTTTTCTTCTATATATGTAAGCTTCCAGGTCTTATATTCACGTATTTTATCCATTTTGAGTTAATTTTTGTTTGTGGTGTGAGGTGGCAGTGGTTGCATGTAGTGGTCCAGTTTTCCCAGCACCGTTTATTGAACAAACTGATCTTGTTCTGGTGCATATTCTTTTTTCCTTTGTCAAATATTAGTTGCCATTTATGTGTGGCTATATGTCTGGGTTTTCATTTCGGTTCTATTTGTTTTTGTTCCAGTGCCATGCTGTTTTAATTATTATGGCTTTACAATACAGTTTGAAGTCCTCTTTTCTTCTTTTACTAGTCTGGAGTGCTTTGGCTAGAATTGCTTTTCTTTATATATAAATTATATCCTATATTTTCTTCTAAATAATTAACAAATCCTTTGATTCTTTAATGCAAATTGGTGTTATCCTGGATCATATAATTAAATTGCATTCATTATACATAAATACAGTTGCTCTCATCTGTAAGTATGCTATCTCTCTTTTATAGGAAAACTTTTTATCAAGATACTTACCATAAATATAGGTTATATTTTTGGCCATTTTTAGCTGAATTAATATATGTGATACATAAATGTGAAATATTAAAGTGTAATATACCCTTTTCATAAAAACCTGATAAGTTTGCAATAATGATAAAAAACAGTTAGTACTAAATGCAATTTTAATTACTATGGAACTCTTACTTAAATATTAAGTTAATATAGT